ACTGTTCTTCTCATGTATTTCTCACTCCTCACTCACAGCTACCGTAAAAAACAAACAAACAAACAAAAAAACCCCAAACAAAAACCAACAACCAAAACCCCAAAACAAACAAACAAAAAACCCAAACAAAAAAACCCAAACGTTTTTTAATCCTTCCTTAAACATTATCACAGAGGTGCCACTAGTGTTGCTGATGGGATCGGCTTTGGCCGAAGAGTCCCTTCTGGAGCTGTCTGTAACTGGCTCTGTTTGATGTGGGGGACAGCTCCTGGTGTCTTCTCACAGAAGCCATCTCTGCAGCCCCCCTGACTACCGAAACCTTGTCGTGTAAACCTGACACAGGGAATAATGCTCTAGTAGATGCCTTTTAGGGAGGTAGGAAGTGATTCAAACCCTAATTAGGCATGAGGCAAAAAGATGGATAATTCTTCCTCTACACTTGGTTGTTTTGGGTTTTTTTTTTTTGGTGTGGTGTGTAAAGATATTCTTCCTTGTAGGTGAATACATACATGGACGTGACTTCACTTTTTTCTAATTTTTGATGTTCACAAACAGAAAAGAGCACAAAGGCTTCCTGTGACTTGCTTTGCGTATATATTTCATATACACCAGTGTTATTAAAACGGACTTGGATGTGAAATACAGTACTGCTATCTGTGCTGTTTTCACAGAATTATAGAATCACTTAGGTTGGAAAAGACCTGAGAGATCGGGGGCACATCCAGTCTTTCGTTAAACACCTCCAGGGACTGTGACTCTACCACCTCCCTAGGCAGTCCATTCCAATGTCTAATCACCCTTTCTGTAAGAAATTTCTCCTGATGTCCAATCTGAACCTCCCCTGGCACAGCTTGAGGCTGTGTCCTTTCATCCTGTCCCTTGTTGCCTGGGAGACTGACGCCCACCTGGCTACAACCTCCTTTCAGGTAGTTGGAGAGAGTGATGAGGTCATCCCTGAGCCTCCTCTTCTCCAGTCTTAACAGCCCCAACTCCTCATAGGGCTTGTGCTCCAGACCCTTCACCAGCATAGTTGCCCTTCTCTGGACTTGCTCCAGGACCTTAATATGCATCTTGTAGTGAGGGGCCCAGAACTGGACACAGTAATTGAGGTGTGGCCTCCCCAGTGAAGAGGACAGGGTTTTTGATGTCAGCTGAAATTCACTTAAGAGGCACTACTGAAACTGCTTAATCTGACCCGAGATATTTTTATAATCCTAATCTCTGTAACTCATCCATCCAAATACGAGAAAATGCAAGAATTGGGCAGCAGCATCATCAGTTTGGTTGTTCTTAACTTGCAGCAAAGCATTTAAGGACTTCAAAGTGTAGACTTAAGTGAAAACTTTTATGTAAGCTTGAAATGTGTTGTACTGAAAAAAAAAAAGAGGTCTAGTGTTGACTTTCCTCTATTTGTAAGTATGGACAATATCAGCTCAATCTAAATGCTGTCGAATAAGTACCATGTTACTTTCCACACTCCAAGGACTCTATTTACTACATAAACTTTGGAAACAGTGAGTGACAGTTCTTTGCTTCATTCTTGTGCTTTCTGTAGAAGCGCAAACGGTTGTGCTCACTATGAGATCTCTAGTTGTAATCTCAAAACATGGAATATAAAATACAGAAGTATAAAAGATAAAGTTCAGTGGCAGCAGCCGCTTCGGCATGGCATTGTTCACCTTGCATATCACTTCTGTGTCCTCCTGGTCAACTTTTCAGAGCAGAAGGAAATCCTGAGAGTAGTTGACAACACAGTGGATCTTGCTGAAGAATGAAACTTGGAAGAAAAAGAGTTAGAATGGATAGTTGTGTAGTTTGCTTTTAAACCTGATCATGTGATCTCTTAGCCACATGAATTAGATGCTTGTTGACTTGCTCCCTAGACAGACATTTGAGGTTTGAGTCTTCCGTGTCCAAAGGAAAACTGTTATTAAGGAATGCCCCCGTCTAGTTTAGATGCACTGCCTGGCCATTTTCTCCTAATTAATTTTAACAGATGTTTGATAGAATAGAGCTTCTTGGCAGCTCTCTGATCTTAATAGCTTCTGAGAAAATGCATTGATTGGCCCTTTTGTTTTCAAAAGATTGCTGTAATTTTCAGTCATTATCTATGAGGAAATCAGTGTAATTTATTAAACCAGCATCATGGATTAAGAATTAAAGACCTGATTCTTCTAACACTTAAACTCGTGTTATGCTGATGTTACCCATGAGGAGCTTTAGTAAGACAAAGAGTAAGTGGAAGATGTTCATCATGAACTTTTAAAAAGCAAATTTCTAGATCTCTTTCATAACCTCAGAACTGATTCTTTTTGTTGCTTGTACTAGGAATAAACTGTATTTCTTGGAGTTTGGATATGAAGACAGTCCAAAAACTATCATATTTATAAAAAACCCCTTATAAGTACAAGCTTATGTCTGAGAAACACTTAGCTAGCACTCTGTGTACAATGCTTGAGTTGCAAATTCTGTAGGAAAACCAGATTGCATTTAATCAGAAGAGAAAATTATTCTGTGTAGTCTCCCTACTTTTCAGGAACGAAACATTTAAGCAGTATCTCTGGCTTCTTGTTCCTTTTGCAAGCTAGGTAGATGCCTTTCAAAGGTACTGCTTAAGTAGATTCAGTTTGCCTTACAAAGAGGTCTTAGAAACTTCACAGAATTGAAATTTGATCACTGTGAAAGCAAGGAACAAATTGCTCTCCAAGATTTCATTGTGACTTCACAAAATTTTAATAACTGTTCTATCAGGGTCATCTCATCTTTGTTTATTTTAATTCTGTGAAGTTTTGTTTTAAAGACCCAGCATGAAATAAATTATTCACATAAATGTAACATTTTAATGCAGTTTGACTGCTATTATACTAAAAAGTTACAAAAAAAAAAAAGAATTGGTGAACCGATTGGTGGACAAAATGACTAATAATTTGTTACAAAATCTGTTGATCTGTTGTTTACTACAGTAGACTTCCGTTGATTATATCAAATAGTGAGTTTTCAGGTCTCCAGTATAAGTAGATAGCGCTTCAGTCCTGTTTTATTTATGGCTGTTGTTTTTATTTTTTATCCAGTGCCTTACTGATCTCTGGGAATTAGGTTAGATTAGAGTGATTTTGTGGGATGAAATTAAGCAGGCTGACTAACACAAAAAGACTTCTGACCAGTTGTAGCCAAGGATGGTAGGATAAACCCAGTCATCAGGGTTTTGGACACTGCACAGTCTTTTAAAACATCCACTTATAAGCAGCTGGTTGCTTGCTTCCATTCTGACTGTCTTAAAGAAGTTTTCTGCCTTTTTTTAATTTTTATTTTTTCCTTATTTCATTTTTGTCTCTGTCTTCAGAGTTTGCAATGGAAGGGCTGGAGAATGAAACACAACAATGGATTCTACTAGACATTTCTCATTCTGCTTAGCCTTCGACAAAAAGAAAGCCTTTGGTCAAATCCCCAGCTAGTAAATTGTCTGCCATCCTGAGAATCCTGTCTTCAATAGAAAGGCTGGCTAAAGCTGGAAGAGCTTTTTGCGAGTATCATGACAGTGGTTACTACGAAGAATAGAGGCCTGTTCTGCCATTCTGAGCTACAACTGGTGTCAGCTGTGGTACTGAATAGTACAGCAAGATAAAGGGAACAAAAGGGCACATTTTGTGTGCTAATAATAGGCTTGGAACTGCCATAAACTCTTTATATAAATTATACAACAGTACCAGTTCTCTTTCTTAAATTTTTCTTCATCTTCCTTGTGGTTGAAAACCTGGCTATATAATTTCCGATGGCGTTGCAGTGATTCTTGTGTGTGCTTTTTGCTGTGGTAAGCAGAGTCAGCAAGGGCAGTAAAACAAATGTTTCAGGACACGGATCTAGACTCAGTGCCTGACAAAATGGGGTCTCATAGACTAAAAGGATAAGCGTAAAGATTTTTTTTTTCATCAGTTAATTCCCTGGGATGCTGACAGCTGCTGTCTTATTATTGCATGTGACTGGCACATTCAGAAATACTGTCCCATGGCTTCCTCCCTGGTAAAGCTCTTCTATACTTCTGAGGGGGAAGCAGCAGAGGAATGGAACAAGATGGCAGCACCTCTTGTTTGCCTGTATTCAGAATGCTGGGTGGGGGTATTTACTGAGCGATCGTATCTTCATACTAGTGTTGGTGGTAGTCAGGATGGGGAGAAGTCAGTACACTGTTTAGTAGGTCAGAATACTCTGCAGAGGACACTTAGTGCTCAACTGCTGAGGTTGGACTAGACCTTTCCAAAACTATAAAAACACTTCCTTAAGTAACCTAAGAGTTGATTTCTTTCTGATAACACTGCTGGGTCACGGGTCATTGCTGTTATTGATGTTTCCTTTCTGGGTTTATGGATTATAACTGACAGAATTGCAGTTTCGAGGAATAATTGAACGAACTGTGTGTATTGTGCATAGCCAAGCTTTTATTCTCCTGCCAAAATCAACTGTTATTTGAATGTGAGACAGAAATAAGACAATAAGGCTAGAATTAAAGGGCTGCTACCTTTAGGTTGCGGAACATGTCTGGCATAGCTTGTAGAGAAAGGCACAAATCCTAACGCAGCTCTAAAGCTTATGTTTACTTTGGAGCAGCTGTTGAAGATAGTAGATTTCACAGTATATGTCTTACGAAGTACAGACAATTCAAATCACAATATAAGTGGATTATTTACTCATATTTTATCAATAAAGACCTGGTAGAGGAGTGCTGTAGTCCGAATACTGGAGTCATATGCTAATGAGTTTTGCAGAATTAGGATTAAAATGTGAAAATTTGTTTCGAAAGCCAAGTGTAAATGACTCAGAAATATGGAATTCTCTTTCTATACTTACTCTTGCAAATATTGTCATCAGGACTTTTTCTACAATAAATTTAAGTTTTGTTTTAGTGTATTTAGTGTATTTAAATGTAAAACATGAAGTCTGTATTAACTCTGTTTATAGAAATAAATGCACTCTGTAACTGCTGATACTATTTGGTTTTGCAGGTTGTCTTCCGAATTTTGTGTCTGAAGGTACCCTCTTGCTTTCTCAGCAAATCATGGACATCGTTGGCTTTCTGAAGTCTCAATTCATTTGCCACCTTCTGATCTGCTACATATTTATAGTGTCAGGACTGATCATTAACTTCATTCAACTCTTTACACTTATACTTTGGCCAATCAACAAGCAACTGTTCAGGAGGATCAACTGCAGGCTGGCTTACTGCATTTCAAGCCGTAAGATTTCATTTTGTTTTTTAAAGTATTTCATGTTTTGTCTAGAGGGAATTGGTAGAAGAGTTCTGTATTTCCACATAACCTTTTTAAAGGTCATGACTGCTTCCTACAGCACCTGCATTTGTGTGAAGAGTTGTATGCTTTGTTGAAATGTCTTCTCGTGCTGAAATGTTTTGCTTTTTTATACTGGAATACTTGCTGGACTCAGGATATTAAAGAAAGATTGCCTCTCATTTGGCTATCCATCAAGTTCCATTAAGCCAAATGAAAAATACTGACCAAATAATGCATCTCAGCAAGTTCGGCTGTTGTCTGGGCTTACAGTGTTAACAAGTCACTTCCAATAACGCTTTCAATCTTTTTATTATCCATGATTTTGTTTATAATCTTGATTTAAGTGTTTCATGTGCAAATACTGTTCTGAACTGGGAAATAACAGTAAAAAAAGGAAAAATCTTCAATTTCATATGCTTCTTTCTTAAGCTAGTTATAAACTGTTGTTTCTTTGAAAAGGCATTTCAGACCTTAAGCTGCATCTATCTGTATTCAGTATATGCATGTAGTTACAATGTAGAATACAGCAGGTAGCCTGTAACCATTTCAAAGAAGCAGGGGTTGCAATTATTTTGATTTTTCTGGGAGAGTTGGGAGCATGAGCTCAGGATATGAGTTGTAGAAAGACCAGACCTTTAAAACTGTTGAGAGATGTGACAATTCACTGGCACTTGACTGAACAGGTAATTCCAGTGGAATGAATGAGAGCTGTACCCTGTTTGTTCTGTTAGTAGGAGTTTGGTAGAATCTCCACCTGACAACAGTGAATTATTGGAGCATGTGTAATTTTCTTGATATAATCTGTCTACGTATATATATTTGCTTTTAAAGAGCTATGACTGCAACTTCAGCACAGTTTTATTGTACTGTTCCTGACTTTCTCATAAGTGCTCTAAATTTACAGCAGAGAGAACTCCACAGAAACTGTTAAAAAATGCTAAGGTACCTGTGTTCAGTATCTGGGTGCATGCTTTTGAATGTGTCCATCTTCCAGAGAGATTTCCCTGGGTCCTTCTGAAACTGAGAAGTGCTTTCTAAAAAGGAAACTATTGCAAAATGCATGCCTTTTGATACTCCCTAAAGATTATTCAAGTGTGATGTCACTGTCAATGCTGAGTGAGTTATGGATGGTTTCATGCTGGGGAAAAGCACCCTCCAACACAGTGTTTAAGAAATGCAGCAAAATGGTTTCTTTCAGGTCACTTCTTCTGCTACTGTGAAGCAGTTAGTATTTATAATAAACTGCTTGAGGTAGAAATGTGTCACATGCCTCAACTTGGGGACCACTAGGGATTATTTATCTTTCATCAGTGACTCTAATGAACAATTCAAAACATTTTTTAAGACATATTTTTTGCTTAATTTTCAAAGCTGCATTAGCACATATAACCCCAAATAAATTTGGGATACTGTTTTATTATTTCTGTAATGTAGAAAAAATGTTCCTTCTGAAAAAAGTCATTTTTGCTGTCTGTGTGTGTCCCTGAAGTGAGTATGCAGGTACTATGCATTGATATGTACATTGACACTGAACATAGCCAAGTTTCTAAGTTTCACCCAGCAGCATAGTGTATGTTTGAAGCCATGGAATATAGAAGATACTCTACAGCTGTATACAAGTGTATATTATTATTTTTTCATGCAGTGCCTTCTGGCCCATTCTCCTTTTGGCTGCTTAGTGCAGAGATATCAGCTATGCTAGAGTCTTCAGGCTGAATCCTTCAGGTTTAGCTCAATCTAGTCTCATCTAGGGGATGGACAGTGTGTAAGAGGGAGTAATACTGCATACTTGTCCTTGGTGGGGCAGATAACTTTGTGCTCAGGGTTGCTGATCTAGTCTTTAATGCTGGAATAGATTATGTCGGGAATTTTTTGCCCAGTCATGGTCAGAACAAACTATGTCTAGGTTAAAGTAGTTTATTTTAGCTTTAAGCAGAGCAAGCTAGCATTTGATACGAGTCAGTTATCACATCTAACTGAGTGATATTTAAAAGGGGAAAATGGTAGTTAATTTTAAAAAGAATTTCAAAGAACTAAAGACCAATTAATTGAAACGGGTTTGGTTTTTGTAGTAGTATATGTGTACAATAATGCCCTTTGGGGGCCGTTGATGTGCTGGCTAATGAATTAGTCAGGTCTGTATGGGTCCGATGAAAGTCATGGAAACAACCTACAGCTGGAGAGAATGAAGCTTAGCATTGGAGAATATAAAGAGGCACGTGCTTTGCAGTGGTGACAAGGATCATGTTGCTTTGAGAAGCTGATACAGCCTGAGTTACCAAGTCAACCAAAGAGTGAAGTAGAGTGGGCATGGTTTAATTTAAGAATGAAACAAAAGCAGCAGTTGTCTTTAGACCCTGCAAGTTCAGTTGGTTTCCATTTGGTGTCAAAGGTAGAGATAAATGGTTCCATAAATTGTAGGAGAGCATTTTGTCTTTGATACTGTGCTCTTTGGGGAAGTTGGTTTTTTTGTATTTTAAGTCGTGCTGTCTTCTTATACCCCTTTTGTTCCTATCTCCTTTTTGATATAAGAACATAATATCACTTCTCATGCAATGTCTGCTGTCATACTGCATTTGGGAAGCTGAAATGTTATTGTGATTAATGACTTGTCCTCACTTGAGTAGTAGAGTTGGAGTTGGGGATGTGTCTCTGTTCACATGAATCAAGCCAGACTAGCTCGAGTTAAATATTCACAGAATCATAGAATCATTAAAGTTGGGAAAGACTCTTATGATTGAGTCCAGCCATCAGCCCAGCACTGCCAAGTACACCACTAAACCATGTCCCTAAGAGCCACGTGTACATGTCTTTTAAATGCCTCCAGGGATGAGTCAAGTCTTGGACAGCCTGTTCAAATGCCTGACAACTCTTTCCATGAAGAAATTTTCCTTAATGTCCAGCGTAAACCTTTCCAGGTGCAATTTGAGTCCATTTCTTCTTGTCCTGTTGCTTGTTACTTGGGAAAAGAGACCAACCCCCACATCGCTGCAACCTCCTTTCAGGCAGCTGTAGTGAGTGATAAGGTTTCCCTTGAGCATCCTTTTTTTTGTGAACCACTCCTCATAAGACTTGTATCCAGACCATTCACCAGCCTCTTACCATAAAATGGCTGTATGGAGTACCTGTGGTAGTTGAGCACATGTAGCCATGGGAGCTACTGCTTCTCTACTGTGAGTTTCAGCAACAGCACTACAGCTTCTCATCATAACTACGTAACTTTAGCCAGCAGGCTAAAACTATAGACTTCCATCTTTTCATCAATGCAAGTTAAAGAAGAGGTGGAAACCTGGCTTCCAGTTTGAATTCACAGTGAAAAATATTAACTAGAACAACAACTTGCTTTTAATGGAACAGAGCAGGTATAGTGGCGCACACCAAGTTACCTTCAGTAATTGTTGTTTAGAAGTTGTTGCCTTTCTTGAAACCAGTTGTGAGTCAGGGTGAGTTTAGCTTCTTTATTGACCTGCTTCGTTATGTGTTAGCATTGGGGAGAACTTTTTTTGAGAGTGCTGCAAATGAAAAAATATTGGTTCTGATAAACTGATAAATTCAAATGAAATTTGAATTGAGTAACTGTTCTTTGATTGCAAACTGAAAGCCTTGTTAAGTTCAAACGTCAAAAACAAAACACCAAAGTCTTTGGGCTTCTAACTTTTAGAAAATATTTTCGGGCTCCAAATATATATGCCCAGATTGGTTCAACTGCTAATGTTAATCCAATGCCCTTTTGTAAAATGGCAACCCTGATCAACTCTCCCTAATAGTGAACTCAACTGAATGCACTCTACTAAGGAAATTGAACACTGCAAGCCTCAACAAATTTTAAAAGTAAGTGTGCTTGGAAGATGGCATAAGAACAAAGTTTGAGCAAACAGTCAATCTTGGGTTTTATTTTTAAATAATTTAGGGATATATTGTCCTTAGTTTATTTTTCTGAAATTCTGAGAAGCAAGATGTATGCCAAGCATACATCTCACGGATGCTGTTTGTGCCTGTATTGGAAGAGGTCAGAATACATCTTCTTTCTTCCTCTTATGTGATAGCAAACACCACAAAGGGTACACAAAGCTATTCTGCATTAGCTCGTGAAGTGGGCCAAACACATAGAGGGAACGGGTTGTCTTGGGATTCGTGCCGTATGTGCTGCATAGCTTGTTGGGCAGTGGGAAAGTAGTTTGTCCTTCCTAAATCAGTTTGTGCTTGGTTGGTGGTGCAGTGCAACCCCAGGTTGAGCAGCACATGCTGGGCTCGTATGGGCTGTCTGGGGCATAATTCCACCACATGCCAAGACTGCCAGAACGGGACATACACATACAGGATAAATGGCTTCTTTAGAGGTGCTGGGTGGAAGGGGTATTTGCCCATGAGTAGAACAGTGGTTTTTAACTTGTCCTCTTGCTGCTACTGTACTGGGGGAAAATGAGCTTCTCCTTGTGCTGAGATCCCTCTTGCACTCCCAGGGGTAGTGGCAAACTGGCCTCCTACTGACTCTCCGCACCAGGTGAACTTTGCGTAAACAAAAGACCTGGCAGCAGTGGCACAGTCGTGTGGACAGGTGCAGAAGGGCTTTAAAAGCAATTGACTTAGCTTCTAATCTGCCTTCATAAATAAATTATAGTGGTACTAATACCTATTCTTGTGCTATGAAAGGGGTGTTATTACACCTCTGGGTAAAGTTACACTACGTAAGCTGCAGTTCATAAATTCAGCTGAGGGAAAGACCCTTTGCATGGTAAGAGGCACCCTGATTCCTGTTCGTTGACTGCAGCAAAAACAAGATGGAAACTGATTCTTCTTATGACTGGGCTACCTAAAAAAAAACCAAAAAACCAACCAAACAAACAAAAAAACAACAACAAAAAACTGGCAGAAATTGAGAACTGCTTCAAGTTAGCTTGGCTGTTATAACACAGTAAAGCTAATTCCTTTCACCTGCAATTTAT